ATTTATGAAGGAGAAGATATTTGGATTTGACATTTTTCTCCTTCCCTACTGCTTGGTATCTGGTGCTTTCTTCATACTTATTGTACCCCACATACTTCTCTCTTAAATCACTCATTTGTTCTACTGTGCATATTTCAGTTAGGTGTTTGAAAGAAAGCATTCTGACTGAACTAATTAAAACCAAAGATTAGATATCTGCCTCATAATTTCTCAGTGGTATTAAAAATGCATATAATGTCAATTAAAATTTTTATAGCAACATTCATGGCAGTTTAGGAAAAATATTATAGGATAGGGTTGGCCTGGGACTTTCCATCCAAATCAATCTTACTTCCCACAACATTTTCATTTCTTCCACTTTTTCCCCATAGGTTTTCTCAAATCCCACGGTTTTTGCACAGTGGCAGGCAAAGTGAGGGCTTTAGCAAGTTAGGGGCAAAGTGGAAGGAATTTTATATGTGTCTGGAATTTAGGAAGAATGACTCTGTAATATATCTTTCTCACCCTTCTAGGAGGTTCTTGCTTTATAGTCTTTTGTTGCATCCATTTCTTTTCCTCTTTGTCACTGTCTTTCCTCACTTTTGCATATGTGTTTCCTCCTTCCCTTAGGGAGGGAGCCCTCCATCTCAAGTGACACTCGAACAGATTCCTCAACAGAGAGCTATCCCTACAAACACTCCCACCATGAGTCTGTGGTCAGTCACTTCTCTTCTGATTCTCAGGGGACAGTCATCTATAATGTGGAGAATGATTCCATGTCCCAGAGCAGTCGGGACACAGGTAGGGACTTACACAGAGGACCCTTCTTGCCTAATTCAATTCCTGCATAGAAGGTCTCCCAAGAAAAAGAAACAGAGGCAAGTCAGAAATGTTTGCCATGATGGGTAGAAAGGCACAGAACTTGGGTAATTATGTGGAATGCAAGGAAACAACACACTTCTGAATGAACAATGATACTCCATTGCACCCACTCCTGTCAACAGCAACAAATCAATAAGGGCCATTGTAATATGATTGTTTGATGTGATTATTTCTGAAGTCTGTTTTTCTCCTGTTATTTGCTTTCATTGTGCATTCCACACAGAGAACGTTCTTAAATTATTTTATCTGTAGGAGAGTATACCTGCGTCAGTGGAAGCAGGAAGAAACCAATATAGTGAATACAAGAAAGAATAGAGTGAATCCTGAGATGAAAAGTTCATTGTGGGAGATAGAACTATCTGAGGCATAACACAGTACCCATATTCTTTTTTTTTTTTTGGTGCTGGGTATTGAACCCAGAGCAAGCACTCTACTAACTAATCTACATCCCCAGCCTCTTTTTTTTTTTTCAATATTTTTTTAAATTGTTGATGGACTTTATTTTATTCATTTATTTATAAACAATGCTGAGAATCAAAACCAGTGCCTCACACATGTGAGGCAAGCACTCTACCACTGAGCCGCAACTCCAGCCCAGTGCCCATGTTCTTAAGAAATTGGGGAATTTGTGAGTTTCTGGCTTCATATTGGGGAGTTATAATCCCTGTCTGGCCTTTTTTTAAAGTGAGAATTTCACGCATTCATAAGTATGTAGAAGAGTATACTGCCCCTCTAGGTACCCATCACTTAGTTTAGTAATGATAATTCATAACCAATTTAGTTATACCCACTTTTCCCACTCCTGAATTATTTTGGACCAAATCCCAAGCATTGTATTTCTTTCATAAATAGTTTGGTATGTATTGCCAAAACATAATAATTTTTTTTTTTATACAAAGCATTATTACATTTAAAAATAGTAATGAGAGCTGGGGATATAGCTCAGTGGAGTAATGTTTGCCCAGCATACATGAGGCCCTGGGTTAGATCCCCATCACTGGCCCCACCCCCACAAAGAAGATAATTCCTTAAAACCACTAAATAGCCAATGAATGTTCAAATATTATTTTATAAATGTCATATTTTAAAAATTATTTTTGTGTTTCACATAAAATCCAAATGAGGTCTGCACATTGTGATAGGTTGAGTCTTTTAGGTTACTTTTAACTTATAGGCTTTGCCTCTGTTTTTTTCCTTGTAATTTATTGTTGAAGAACTAGGGATTTTGTTCTGTACATTTCTTACATTTTGAATTTTGCTGATTTTATCCCTAGGTATACTTTAACTTTTTCTGTCTCTTATTTCTCATAAATTGGTAATTAGATTTAGAAGTTGATCAAATTCATGTTGGATTTCTTTTGATGACTGCTGCATAGATGGTGTTAGGTGTGACTATAAGGCCATATTTCTGAAATAGTGAACCAGGGAGAAGCCAGACCAACGATAAACTGGGTGCTTTTTCTAGGAAAGTGAGGTTTATGTTAAATAAAGGTTTGATTATGGGACCTGTCTTTTACATTGTAAGATTTAGTTGCTCCAAGTAATTTCTTCCTTCCTTAAATCTTTTTTTGTCAGCCCAAATACAACAAAAGAAAAAAAAGCAATAAAAAAATATATGGAGCCATTGGTAGAAAATAAGTATCCATATCACTACTTTGATGATACCTGAATATCAACAAGGATTTTCATATACAAACATGAAAACAAATTTCTGTTAACTCTATGTGCATTTGAGAAGCAAGGGAGTTTTCTCTAAGCATGTCTTCAAATTTAATTCACCTTCTGGCTTTTAGCAGCTTAGTTAACAATATCCTTTAGAACCTAATCTTTGTTGTAAAGTCAGAATCATACTCAGGACATTTGTCTGCTATGGGCATGAAGCAGGGCAAGTTGCATAAAATATCCCAGCCTCCCTGGGTTTCCTAATAATTACTATTGAGGGACTATGAAATATAATGTCTGGGTGAAGTCGAGTCTGGCAAAGCATGGGTAGAAGATGAAAAAGAGAATTAATCAAAATTGAAATGTCTTTTATTTTTTGAAATTTATTTACTTACTTTTATTTTATTTATTTATTTTTATGTGGTGCTGAGGATCAAAACCAGTGCCTCACACATATCAGGCATGTGGTCTACCACTGAGCTACAGCTACAGCCCCTGAAATGTCTTTTTAAGTGATGCTTATTTAAGGACTGTTTAGAACTGGGTGTTTAAGCCATACATAATCAGAACTCTTATGGTCAAATGCTGGGGCCCATGAGATAATACCAAATGTACTAAAAATCCAACCTCACTTAATATGTGTTGCCAAATAAAGAAGAACTCTTTATTCAATTTGTGAAAAAAAATATATTCATACACACACACACACACACACACACACACACACGACATTTTAATAGAAGCTTTAAAACTTACTTTTAAAATTTACCAAGATTTGGGATGTATCTGGTAGAGTACCTGCTTAGCATTTGCCAGGCTCTAGGTTTGATTCCTAGCAGTAAAGAGGCAAACAAAAAGTTACTAAGCATGTGTCTTTAGTCCTTCTGGTCATTGGAAAGATTATGAGTGCGGTTTGAGTCTGGTAATTGCTCAGGAGACATTTTACATTTGTTAAATATCTGAGTTTCTCTGCATTTATCTACAGAGAGAAACCTCTTCATAGATAGCTTTGGCCACAAATGCTTCTAATCTGTGGTACTGCCATGAATCCCTAGGTTCTCAAGGGGATCGAGGTCACTCAGATACCAGCTTACTCCCATTTCCTTGTTCTTTTAGGACATCTGACTGATAGTGAATGTAATCAGAAACACACATCCAAGAAAGGGTCCCCAGTAGAGCGCAAGAGGAACTCTGGCCGTCTTAGGAGGAAAGGTGATGAGCCACAGGCCTCAGGATATCACAGTGAAGGCAAGCTTCTGCATTGCTTCTCATTTTCATTTCCTATCAAACTTGTGTCACATTCAGACTGTTGGCTTCTCCTTTCTGTTCAAAGGGTTTTACCTTACTTTCTGGACTTTAGGATCTGGGTATTTCTAATCACTTTAAACATCTATATTTGATTCATTCTTTGTGTTTTTAGGAGAAACACTGAAAGAGAAACAGGCTCCTAGGAACGCCTCCAAATCATCCAGCAGCACCAACAGGCTAAGGGATTTTAAAGAGACAGTCAGCAATATAATTCATAACAGACCATCCCTGGCTTCTCAGACCAATATAGGATCTCCCTGTGGGGGTAGGGGAGGAGACCAACCTGACAAAAAACCTCTTAGGAACCTGTCTTTACACTCTCGTGATTGGGAAATAGAGAGTACCAGCAGTGAGTCAAAATCCAGTTCTTCTAGCAAGTATCGTCCAACATGGAGACCCAAACGAGAATCTCTGAATATTGACAGTATTTTTAGTAAGGACAAAAGGAAGCATTGTGGCTATACCCAGCTTAGCCCTTTTGCTGAGGACTCAGGTAAGGAGATAATTAGGGAAGAATTGGACTTTATAATAAAGATGATGGTATTTTTAAGAATTTGATTTTCTGATATACCTGGCAAGGTACATTTTTACTCTGATGTCTGGTTTGGGGGGGAATGTGAGTTCAATGAATGAGTGGTTGGAGGGAGGGATAGGTCTTTATATAGGCAGATGTTTAATTTACTTCCTTTTCCTTACTTGTCCTTTCATTGGGATAGCTAAAGAATTTACACCAGATGAACCAAGCAAGCCACCTGCTTACAACACTAAACCTGTTGGACCAAGCCCTCAGTACAAACCCTGGGGCTCAGCACGACTAACCTCTCATCTTTTAGAGCAACAACCTCGCCTAATCCAGCGAATGGAATCTGGTTATGAGAGCAGTGAGAGGAACAGCAATAGCCCTGTCAGCCTGGATGCAGCCTTACCTGAGAGCTCGAATATTTGCAGGTATTGTTTGGATTTTGAATAGAGGTGTTGTCCCTTGCAGCAATGTGAGCCACCTAATTGGAGATTTCAACCATGGCTTAAATAAATTGAGAAATGGGCTTTAATATTATCTATGTGCTCTACCAAGTTTATATAGCAGCAGCACCCTCTGCTGGCAGGAAGAACAAAGGTGCTTAAGAAGTGAGAAAGCTTTCAAGTATCAGATATAAAATAATTCTTTAGTGCCTACTTCAGCAGCATCTGTACTAAAATTTGAAGAATACAAAAAAGATTAACATGGCCCCTTTTGCAAGGATGTGTAAATTTTTGAAATGTTCCATATTTTGCTGGGCTTGATGGCTCATACCTGCAATTTCAGCAACTCAGGAGGCTGAGGCAGGAGGATTACAAGTTCGAGGCCAGCCTTAGGAATGTAGCCAGGACCTAAGTAATTTAGCGAGAACCTGCCTCAAAATTAAAAGGGTTGGGGGGTTATAGCTCAGTGGTAAAGTACCTCTGATTCGATTCCAAAAACAAAGTAAATGTTTCAAATTTTCCTGATACGTAGGATGAACAGGTTTAGAGTTCTAATATACAACAATGAGGAATATAGGTATTAACATTGTACTGTATATAGAATTCATGTTACATGAGATCTTAGCTGCTCTTGCCACAAAAATAAGAGTAACTATATAAGATGATGGTTATGTTCATTTTGCTTCACTTACAATAATCTTTTTATCATCTATGTGTATCTTATAACATAATTTTCTATATCTTAAATATATATAATTTTAAAATGTATTTTAAATTATTTAATAATTTTCAATGAAAGAATCAATTAGTGAAGCAAACCTTTATAATTCTATAATCAGAAAAAACCCAACTGTTACTTATTCTTGCTTTCTAATTTGAAAGAGTTTTTGTTTTTGTTTGGTTTTTTAGGGTAACTGGGTATTCTGGGTTTTATGAAGCCAGTGATATTCATAATCCTATAAGATAATGGTGACAATTTAGACAGAGTTCATTGCATTCTACTTGTAAGGCAGTTTGTTCTATGTGTTTTTGATCTACATATATTAGTTTTACTGAATTGCCACAGACACGATTTCACTAATAGTATAGCTGCTCTAAAAAGAAAGATTATATTTTCTGCAAGGGTGATATCATATCCTCATTCTTTCCCACTCTTCTTCTGTAGGCACAGGACCCTTTTCAGTTTTGCACATGAGATGATGCCAAAATATTTAATAAGATTGGGCTGGGGATATAGTTCAGTAGTAGAGTACTTGCCTAGCATGCACAAGGCTTTGGGTTTGGTCCCCACCACCACCACCACAGGGGAAAAAAAGAAAAAAAAATTAGCAGGAAAAGGGAAGATAATATATAATATGTTCATTAATTCATTTAATAGATTTTGAGTGTCTATTGTGTCAGATACTATGTATGTTAGAAGCATAAGATGTAAATGAGTTAAGATAAAATGGAGGAAATGAGTGGAATTGAAAATGGAGGGATTGTAATATTTTTTCAATTTCCAGAAGAAGTTTAGCAGAAGCGTGTGTGTGTGTGTGTGTGTGTGTGTGTTTTATACTAGGATTGAACTCAGTACCTTACACGTTCTAGGCAAGTGCTTACTTTTGAGCTACATCCCCAGCTTCCCCTTCCCCACCCTTTTTTAAAAAAAAGGGCTCTTGCTATGTTCAGGCTGTCTTTGAACTCCTGGTTCAGACAGTCCTCCTGCCTCAGCTTCCTGAATAGTTAGGACTGCAGGTGCGTGCTACCATGCCTGGCTCTCAGAAACTTTAATTATATTAATTTGATGTTTTGTTGTAGGAATTTAGTCTTGTTAGTATTGCAAGTAATCACCCTTCTGATGCTTCTACTAGATTCTGGGTTCTTTTTTGAAGGGATCCAAGTGCTAAGAGATCAGCTGGGATAGTCCCTTCTTGGCGTCATATCCCAAAGTCTCACAGCAGTAGCATCCTAGAGGTGGACTCCACAATATCCATGAGTGGCTGGACAAAAACTCAACCCCTTTCAGGTAAGCAGAAGGAGAGTGGATTTGGAGGACTGGATTTGAAGATTAATTCTATTTGGGGAACAGCCTTACCTGAGTAGATTTAAATAAGTTAGAGGACAGTTATAGTTTGAGTATATCTTCAGAATGTTAATACGGAGGTTTTCTAGCTGCTCCATCTTTGGATTTATCTTTTTTGTTGTTGTTGTTCTGTATCATGACTTGCCTCAGTGTTTCTACTTTGGGGAGAGTCCTTGGGAATAAAGGGAGAAAAAATTGGTGAACAGCAGTAATAACAACTCCATTCTTAAAAAGAATAACTCTTAGTGTTTTCCTTAGTATAGGGGTAGCTTCCTCAGAAATTAGTTTATTATTGATTAGTACTATGAATTGAGATACAAAAAGGACATATAGGCTATGGGCAAAACTGTGAAATAAGTGATTCAAACTTAACATTGCCCTTGCCTGTACATCCTAGTCTTAACTACCAAGTCTCTTGACAGTTACTGAAGGTTCTTACAGGTGGTTGGATAGGGGGGATGCAGCAGTATTAATAAAAATACACAAACCATTTTAGTTTTTTAATATGTGTGCTATAGGTTGCTGACATCTGGTAGAACAGAGTAATACCCATAGAGTCATATACGTTAGGAATACTGGGTTAAGAGTAAATTAGATGCATGGTATTATCTCTACTCCTTTATATTGTCTAAGAGTTGCCCTGTGACATAATATATGATCTATTTTTGAGAAGGATCCATGTGCTGCTGAGAAAAAAGTGTAACTGCTTGATGTTGGGTGGTATATTCTATACATGTCAATTAAGTCTAGGTTATTAATTGTGTTATTGAGTTCTATAGTTTCCTTATTCAACTTTTGTTTGGAAGATCTGTCCAGTGGTGAGAGAGGTGTGTTGAAGTCTCCCATGATTATTGTATGGTGGTCTATTAGACTCTTGAACTTGAGAAGAGTTTGTTTGATGAACATAGCTGCACCATTGTTTGGGGCATATATATTTATGATTGTTATGTCTTGTTGGTGTATGGTTCCCTTGAGCAGTATGTAGTGTCCCTCTTTATCCCTTTTGATTAACTTTGGCTTGAAATCTATTTTATTTGATATGAGTATGGACACTCCTGCTTGTTTCCGAAGTCCATATGAGTGATATGATTTTTCCCAACCTTTCACCTTCAGCCTATGTATGTCTTTTCCTATCAAATGCATCTCCTGTAGGCAGCATATTGTTGGGTCTTGTTTTGTGATCTATTCTACTAGCCTGTGTCTCTTAATTGGTGAGTTTAAGCCATTAACATTTAGGGTCATTATTGAGATGTGGGTTGTTTTTCCAGCCATATTTGTTTATTTATGTTACTAAACATGGTTAGTTTTCCTCTTTGATTATTTTTCCCCCCCTTTACTGTCCTACCTCCCACTGTTGGTTTTCATTGTTATTTTCCATTTCCTCTTTCTGTAATGTTTTGCTGAGGATGTTTTGAAGAGATGGTTTTCTAGCTGCAAATTCTTTTAACTTTTGTTTATTGTGGAAAGTTTTAATTTCATCTTCCATCCTGAAGCTTAATTTCGCTGGATACACAATTCTTGGTTGGAACCCATTTTCTTTCAGTGTTTGAATATGAAGATTTCTTGGAAAGCTGGGAATGGAACCACCATTTGACCCAGCTATTCCCCTTCTCGGTCTATTCCCTAAAGACCTAAAAAGAGCATGCTACAGGGACACTGCTACATCGATGTTCATAGCAGCACAATTCACAATAGCAAGACTGTGGAACCAACCTAGATGCCCTTCAATAGACGAATGGATAAAAAAAATGTGGCATTTATACACAATGGAGTATTACTCTGCATTAAAAAATGACAAAATCATAGAATTTGCAGGGAAATGGATGGCATTAGAGCAGATTATGCTAAGTGAAGCTAGCCAATTCCTAAAAAACAAATGCCAAATGTCTTCTTTGATATAAGGAGAGTAACTAAGAACAGAGTAGGGACGAAGAACATGAGAAGAAGATTAACATTAAACAGGGATGAGAGGTGGGAGGGAAAGGGAGAGAGAAGGGAAATTGCATGGAAATGGAAGGAGACCCTCAGGGTTATACAAAATTACAAGAGGAAGTGAGGGGAAAGGGAAAAATAATACAAGGGGGAGAAATGAATGACAGTAGAGGGGGTAGAGAGAGAAGAGGGGAGGGGAGGGAAGGGGAGGGGGGATAGTAGAGGATAGGAAAGGCAGCAGAATACAACAGACACTAGTATGGCGACATGTAAATCAATGGATGTGTAACTGATATGATTCTGCAATCTGTATACGGGGTAAAAATGGGAGTTCATAACCCACTTGAATCAAAGTGTGAAATATGATATATCAAGAACTATGTAATGTTTTGAACAACCAACAATAAAAAATTAAAAAAAAAAAAGAGTAAATTAGAGACCAGTGGAAGAAATTCATGCTTCCCAGTGAAGTTACACATTTGGTTTGTGTGTTTCCTATATTTTAATTTCTTTCATGTTGAGTGACATTCTTTTAAGAAACATGTGATCATACATAAGCATATTGCCCTTTTTTTCCCTCTTCAGATAGTCAGTACCTTTGCAGTATACTAAAGAGTGAATCTCATGATTTCCCCAGTAATCCTCAATTCTGGATCAGCTACATAGAATCTGACAGGATTCCACAACAAAATTCACAACAAAAAAAGTTATGACAAAATTCTTCCCCTAACATATAATTCCACCATCCTCTTTGTATAATAAGCCCTACATGTCCCACAGTTTTATCTAATCATTCTATTAAGGCATTTATTTTTTAGCAGGGGGTAGTACCAGGGATTAAACTCAGGGACACTTAACCATTGAGCTACATCCCCAGCCCTTTTTTTAATATTTTATTAGAGATGCCATCTCACTGAGTTCCTTAGCAACTTGCTTTTGCTGAGGCTGGGTTTGAACTCACAATCCTCCTGACTTAGCCTTCCGAGTTGCTGGGATTACATGTGCGCCACTGCACCTGGCATGGCACTTTTTATATGAGGTTCAATCACTTAAAAAAAATAAAAAACTACAATCACATGTTTTTTCTCATGTGGAAGCTAGAGAGGAAAAATGAACAGAAAAGTGGGAGGGATCTCCTAAAAATTGAAGGGAGATCATTAGAGTAGAGGAAAGAGACCAGAGGGAGGAAGGAGGGAAGGGAAAGGGAAATACTGAGGAGTAATATAGACCAAATTATATTGCTATATTATGTGCATGTATGAATATGCAACAACAAATTCCACAGTTATGTACAATTATAATGCAACAATAAAA